CTGAATACAGCACACCAGTGGGTCATGACTTTTTATCCAGTTTGCCAGTCTGTGTATTTTGATTGAGACATTTAGGCCATTTACATTCAATGTTAATATTGTTACGTTTGAATTTAATCCTGCCATTTTGTTTTGCCCATTGTTTTGACTCAGTTTCTTCATTGCATCATTAGTCTTTACCATTGGGTACATTTTTGCAGTGGCTGGTACTGGTTGTTCCTTTCCATGTTTAGTGCTTCCTTCAGGAGCATTTGTAAGACAGGTCTGGTGGTAACAAACTCTCTCAGCAATTGCTTGTCTATAGAGGATTTTATTTCTCCTTCAGTTATGAAGGTGAGTTTGGCCAGATATGAAATTCTGGGTTGAAAGTTGTTTTCTTTAAGGATGTTGAATATTGGCCCCCATTCCCTTCTAGCTTGTAGGGTTTCTGCCAAGAGATCTGCTGTGAGTCTGATGGTCTTTCCTTTGTGGGTGACTCAACCTTTCTCTCTGGCTGCTCTTAGGATTTTTCCCTTCATTTCAACCCTGGTGCATCTGATGATTATATGCCTTGGGGTTGCTCTTCTTGAGGAGTATCTTTGTGGTGTTCTCTGTATTTCCTGGATTTGAATGTTGGCCTGCCTTGTTAGGTTGGGGAGTTCTCCTGGATAATATCCTGAAGAGTGTTTTCCAACTTGGATTCATTCTCCCCGTCACATTCAGGTATGCCGATCAAGCGTAGATTAGGTCTTTTCACATAATCCTATAGTTCTTGGAGGCTTTGTTATTTCTTTTCACTCTTTTTTCTCTAATCTTGCCTTCTCATTTTATTTCATTAATTTGATCTTCAGTCTCTGATATCCTTTCTTCTGCTTGATCGATTCAACTGTTAAAACTTGTGTATGTCTCACTTAGCTCTTGTGCTGTGTTTTTCAGCTCCATCAAGTCATTTGTTGTTCTTCTCTAAGCTGGTTATTCTAGTTAGCATTTCGTCTAACCTTTTTTCAAAGTTTTTAGTTTCTTTGCATTAGGTTAGAACATGTTTGTTTAACTCAGAGAAGTTTGTTATTATCCACCTTCTGAAGCCTGCTTCTGTCAGTTCGTCAAACTCATTCTCTCTCTTGTTTTGTTTCCTTGGTGGTAACGAGTTTTGATCCCTGGGAGGAGAAGAGGTGTTCTGGTCTTTGATGATTTCATCTTTTGTGCTGGTTTCTTCCCATCTTCATGGATTTATCTCCCTTTGATCTTTGAAGTTGGTGATTTTGGGAGGAATCTCTGCGTGGACGTCCTTTCTGTTAAGGTTGGAACTGTATATCCTGTATGAGGTTTTTTGTTTTTGTTTTTGAGGGCTTTTTTTTGGCCCATAGAGGTGCTACTGGGCTGCCTCAGATTCAGTCAGGCTGCTGGGTGGTCTTCCCCTGGAGTTTGTTTACATAGGTGAGATTAGCCCCGCCTTCCTAATGGCAAGCATCATTCCCTCCCCAAGCTCAATCTTCCCTGTCGACATCAAACTGGTGTATTTGCTGCAAAACTCTCTAGCGCAAGGGCTTCAGTTTTTCAGTTTTGTCTGGGTTGGACCTGCCAGGCCGTATTCCCTGCTTTCACCTCTGCCTCTTTCTGTGGGACGGATAGTTCTGTCCCACTGGCGTTAGTCCAAACTTCCACCTAGGTTCATGCCAACAACTTGTGGTGCCAGGCAGGCCAGAGCCATCACTCAGATTTGCATCGACAACCCACGGCGCCCCTCAGTCTGGTGGGGCTCTCGTGGACCATGAGTTGCAGGAGGGATGAGGGAAGCACAGGATCTGAATTGGAGCACCGAGGGGGTGAAGGGGTGAAGTCCCCAACCCTCCGAGCCAGCTGCACTTTCCAGGTGGGGATGTGACCCACCATGTCTCAGTTCGCCCCCTCTGGGCTGCTCTCACCCTGCCTCGGCTTGCCTTCGCTGGGCTGTTTTCACTGTCCTACCAGTCCCACTGAAATGAACCCCAGCCCCTCACTTGGAATTGTGGCGTCCTGTAGCCCTCTGCATCTCACTTGCTGGGAGCTACACTCCAGAGTTGCCTCCTCTTGGCCATCTTCACACACTTGGCCTCCTTTTGTTTGTAACTCTAGGACTTCAAAACTAGCCTTAAGCTACAAAAATCCTGTCCCTGATAGTTGAGATTAACTTTGTGATTATTATTTTTTAGAGATGACGTATTCTTCCATTGCCCACACTAGAGTGTAGTGGTGCGATCATAGTTCACTGGAGCCTCAAACACCTGGGCTCAAGCAATTCTCTCACCTTAGCCTCGACCTTAACTTTAAAATGAGGATTTGCTTAGAGAATTAGGAAACTTCACTTTTGAAACACCCAAGATCCTGAATAAACAGTGGGAGAAGTTTTGTTCTTGTCTTAAGAATAAATTATAATATGTATGATTACACTTTTGAAGGGTTTTTTCTTTTTCATATTTAGAGATAGACTTTCTAGTTACAGGGATGCTAAATCATCTTTGTCCTCTTTAACTTAAAGCAGCAACAACATTACACTTTTTCTAAAATCAGCTATTTTATGTAATAAACATTCAACCAGTTAATTTCTAATATGAGAGAATAATGCAGCTGTGTCTAAATAGTATTTAAAGGTATAAAATTCCCCCATTACGTTCTCAGTAACTTGCAAATTGCTTCATCTGTAGGCATTTCATCTTCCCTCTCTGTACAATGTAGTTTTGCACATGTCACCTGATGTTGTCATGGAGATAAATAGCTTACTCTCGGACATGTCTTGATCCTACTAAGACTGAATTGGGTGGAAATGTTGATAACTTAAGTATTGAGTTACTGTGGCCTGAGAGAATTTATACACCTGTTGAATAACTTCTTTTTTGAGTATCTGATTCCCTCTTTTCAGGGGGGAAAAAAATCAAGACCATTACCTGGAAAGTATGTTAAGCAAAATGCTTGTATGCAATAGATGTAACCCTAATCTGCCTTGTTCATAGTGTTATATTTTATCCACTTTGAAATATTTTACAAATAAAAAGGTCACACTATTATAAATAATAGGTTTATATTGAAAGAATAAGAATATTAGGGCAAGAATGTTAATTGCATGATAATGTTTTACTTACATTCTGGTTCAAGAGTTTTTGAAATTGCATTTGCTAAAAAATGACAGAGCTACAGTTCCAACTTTGTCATACTTAAAGGGAGGAATGGAAGTGTTCCCCACTCCTCCCCCACCCTGCCCCTGAGGAATCGTGATACATTATTGCTTGTTTTGTCAACTCATTCTTGGTTAATCAAGAATATTCCTAATAGATTTTTTACACCTTTTCAGCAGTGCAAAAGGGGAAATAAAATGCCCAGTTTGATAATAAGTGGAAAACAGCTGGGGTCAGCACTCAAGATTCCAGGAAAATGAGCTTGGAATAAGTAATTAAGACAGTGGTTCTCAACCCTGGCTGCATAAAAGAATCTCAGGCATCAGCATTTTTAATCTCCCCAAGTGAATCCAAGTCAAGGTTGAGAACCACTGGTATAAAAGCAATCAGAAAGGGAAACTGAGTTAGAAGAGTATTTTGATGGTCTAAGTTAGAAATAATAAAGACTTCTAATAATAATTAGAAAATAAGCAGTGAGATATCTAGAAGTAGAAACTACAGGACTTCTTTCCCATTCAAGGGAGAAAAATGAAGCAAAAATATCATCTTAAAAGTGGTATTTGTAACCTTGAAACTGGACGAGGTTGCCATTGAGGAGAACCAGGTAGAAATCTGAGAGTTATCCACATTTGTGGGTGGAAGGTTTTAAAAACAACAGTAATAATGAGGAGAATGATTTGACTATGGTGTCAGAAGCTGTGGACTGAGAATTTTCAAGTGGGATGCATGAATATATCAAGAGCAATTAAGAACAATATAGTGATATAAAAGTATAGGAAGCTTCAGAAATGTTTTCAAACTTACTACGTTTTTGGAAATATTTTCTCAAATATATGTTTATTGGGTATCTTCAAAGTTGTATTTTGTAAAGGTCCAACTTTCCAAAGTTGTAGTCTTGGGATCCAAGAAAGGCGACCAGACTTATGAAACAGGAAACAGGTAGCCGTCCCAGCTGTACCCCTTCTAGCCTGCCGGCCTTGGGTAAGCCACTTGCCCAGTTCTCATTTTCCTAATCTGATAAACGGGGATGACAGTGTGTACCCTGCCTACTGCAAAGTTTATTGTTCACTTTGAGTTAGATAGCAAATGTGAAAATGTGTTTTACAGTATATAGAGAATTATACAAATAATGTCGTAGTAGTAGCCTTTTTTGCTGATGTTCACGAGCACATTAGTATTGAGATGCTTTGGATACTTTGTATTCCTGGTAAACAGGTCGTATAACACAATGTAATCCTTTCTTGAGGGAGCTCAGCATCCTACAGGGAAGATGGGATAAACATCAGGGCATACGTTGTGTAAAGGCAGGAATTGTATCGCTAACGTATTCTTAGTGATTGAAACCTGTTAGGCTCTCCTAATATTGATGGGATAGTATAATACAAGATAAAAAGTCATACAAGCAAAATGCACTGGCAATTTTGAGAGATTCTAAACCTGGCACATTGCCTGGATCATAGTAATAGACAAATATATGATGAATTAATGCGTAATGGTTGGAGGAGGGGTGCCATGCCCCAGAAAGCTACTTTGGTTAGCCTGCAGCAAGAGGAGTTGAAATCATATCAGATGCAAAATTTAGAATTAGCAGGAAAGGAAAAAAATAGTTTTTAAATCTAGAAGACTCTAAATTACTCAAAGCTAAGTCCATGAAAATCAGAGAAAATGGTGAGTGTCAGAGGAGATGCCCTCTGAAATGGTGGTATACCCAAGCTGATCATTTATTCACTGTTTTGGTTACAGTTGCATCTCACACAAGAGCAAGGTGTTGCTTATATTCAGATGTGTACCAGTAATACATGTACTGCATTGTTCTGCTTTAAATGTGGCAGGTGAAAGGACTCTGACCATGTCATCTTCTATCTGTAGGAATAGATAATCTCTATGAGAGGGCGCTTCACATCCGCAAACTCCTCCTGACTTTGCCCAGGTCCATCCTTATAGTGATGAGGTACCTCTTTGCCTTCCTCAATCAGTAAGTACTGAATGCTCTGACAAAAGGCCCATCTAAATTCTGTCTTTGTTCTTGGATCCTGTAAAGTGTACATTGGGTTCCATTTATCAGCAGAGTCAAAGAGAAAAATGATTGAATATAGACTGTGAAAGTACATTTTTCCAGCAAATCAAGGTCATTGATAGATGAAAGCCCTACCCTAAACTGTGACCACAAATGCAAAAATATGTAAATATTACTTTAAAAACACACACAGACACTTTTAAGTGAAAAGTGTTATTCAGTGTTTTCCAACTTCCATCCAAAACTGTCATGAACGTTTTTGTCAAAATGATGTAAACTGGCTGTTCATTGCGGAAAATTTTTGTGATTTTTAATGTTGTAGTCGGGGATGGAAGAAAATCAGGGATGGGAATTGTACACAGATCCAAAAAAGAATTTCTGCAAATTCACTGTAATGAGACCTTATCAAGAAGAAAATACTTCAAAATGTTCTCTTAAACAAAGTAACAAATCTTTTCAATTACTACATTATTTTCAAAGAACTTTATTCTTTTAATTTCAGCCATTTGATTTTCAGCCATGCTACTTCCTGCTGTTTGCGTTCTGTTCTAAGAACAGCCTCCCGAAGTCCATCTAAGAGTCCCCATGCTTTAACATTCAGTTAAGCAGCTGGAAATAAAGAAGTGTAGGGGGAATCAACATTGAATAAACTTGGGGAAATGCCTTCTCGTGCTAGCATGGATTTTCCTTTCCTAAAATACGGGTATTTTCTTTTCTGTATTTCATGGGACATTTGGAGTTCTCAAAAGCTGTGATGATTTATTACAATCCCACTGACTAGTCCTGAATCATACCCACTCAGCTTGACCCCAAGAGCCAAGTATCATACAATAGGGAAATATTGGCAGAGAACCATACAGAATGAGACTCTACTGCTGACCTGTGGTGCGTAAAACATTCACAAATGACAGTAGGAACCCATTTGTACATTAATCACCACTGGAAATAAGCAGTATCTAGAGAGATGGGTTTAAACTATGTTTCGGCTAGACTCTGTACATTTGTACCTTTAAATAAACACAGTCACCCAGGCAGTTTTTAAAATCCAGAGGCTTGTTCGTTGCCCACACCACTACCACCATCCCCCAGGATGGAGTACCTTGCCTTCCTACTGGCCCTCTCTATACCATTTCTACCAAATCGTCCTAACACACCGGAATAAAATTCACTGTGAACTAATAATCTGTAATGGACTAGGAAAGCAGTCTGTAAATTAAGAAAGTTCTCCAAACCTGAACCTAACTCATCATGCATGGCAAATGCACCATGGGCATTCCCGGCATTGCTTCCGGTGGTTCTGCCCAGAGGCCCCCTGGCTGGTTGCACCTGCCTTCATGCAGACAAAAGGGCCCAGCCTCTAGGGCAGGATGCTTGGGATCGGGATTATTAAAAGAGAGATTCACTATAATTTTTTGCTGCAAAATCAAAACTTGGAAATAACATTTTTACATCATGTTTTTCTTTGCAAGCCAGCACTAAAGACTCAGAAAGATTAACTGTGACTCTCTCCACTGAGCTGAAGTATGTCTTTTGGAAATTAGGCCATTCTTACTCGGAATCTCCACTTTCAAGATTCATTTGTTTTCAAGATGATCTGAAACATGATCATCATTTACTGTTATTGTGATTTTTTTTTTTTAGAAATATTGTATGTTTGAGAAATGGCAGAAGGGAAAGACATGTTAGCTCTGGAAATTATGCTTTTGTATTTTCTACTGTCTAGACTATCTTATTTCCAAAAAAAGGGTAAAGTATCATGTCAGTTTCTTTGTGTCTGTCATCATCTCACAAAGGTTATTGAGTCTCCTTTTTCTCCTTCCATTTGTCATATGTTCACCTGGATTTTACATTTCCTTTCAAGATTGACATTCTATACACTGAAAGATAACATATCTAAATTCTCCCTCAAACAGGGAGCATAGCAATACTGAAAGATAACATATCTAAATTCTCCCTCGAACAGGGAGCATAGCAATAAAGAGCTGGCTTATTCTGTGTCACTGTGAAAATATTTCACAAATACATATTGAGTAGAATGTAGAAGTTGGTACTAGACAATTGGAAATCTCCCCCACAGTTTCCAAGCTTGGCATGTAATGAGAGAAATGAGGATTCCTTTCCCCTTTTCTTGTGTTTATAATGGCTTTCGTGACACTGTTTGTCACCTACTGTGGATTGTCTTACCCAAAAGCAAATTATAAAGCCTGGAGTTATTTGCTCCTATTAGTAGTTACAAAGAAAAGGTTCTTTGTTCTCTTCTAGGCTTTCCCCAAGATTTATAGGAGAAAACTAACAATCTGAGGTATATTTGAGTGGTGGGAGAACCATTTTAAAGACATCCATAAAGCTTTATGAAAATCCTTACTCTGTATCCCAAATTTACTTGAGAAGCATTTAGAGCCTGACCATCACATTTACAAATAAAACTCATTTATGTGATCCTGGTCTCCACTGTAGTGAATATTGTATTAACCCCCCTCCTGATTTTGAAAAATGCTACTTAAGTAAGTGAATAGGATTTAGACTCCCCTCTCAATTTCTACTTAGTTAAGGTCTTAAGTCATTTCACTTTCTTTGGAGTTTGCTGAGCCAACTTATAGTTGAAGAAGCTTATTATTAAACATTTACATCCTTTTTTTCTTTGTTCTTTTATAACTCCTTTGTTGTTTCCTTTTGTAGTCTATCACAGTACAGCGATGAGAATATGATGGACCCTTATAACCTGGCCATTTGCTTTGGCCCAACATTGATGCCTGTCCCAGAAATACAGGATCAAGTGTCTTGCCAGGCACATGTGAATGAAATTATCAAAACCATCATCATACACCATGAGACTATTTTCCCAGATGCTAAAGAGCTGGATGGCCCTGTTTATGAGAAATGTATGGCTGGAGATGACTACTGGTAAGTCTAAAAGTTTTGGTCCTCCTCTTCCACCAAAAATTATGGAAATGTAGCTATCAATTTAATTAAGATAAAGAGTTTCCCATAAGCCACCAATGCTTCCAACTTCAAAGAAAAGGAAGCAGCAGTAATACTTGAGATAAATTTTAAAATACTAACACCCATGGAAACTCTTATTTATCCCTCTCTTCTCTCAAAGGACTATATCTTTTAAATAAATTGACTCTATCATGATTTTTTTTTTAAAGAAAAAGGATTTCGATGTTATATACCCTTTCTCATTACATTACATTAAACCAAGGAAAGATAACAGATTGAATTGACATTTTATTTTTCAGTCTAAATCAAAGTTTTTTATTTCATATAAAGTATTTTTAAATTCTCATTTTAAAGGAGCCCTGTCAACCAAATGTATTTTCATTCTTAATTTATTTTCATTTTCACTCTTACTAATGAATATAATTCTAACTATAATAGTAAAGGTCATTTTGAGCAAATTTATTATATTGTTGGGATATATATATATATATTGTTGGGATACAATTTTTTAGCATGGTAATATTGCCTCCCATTCCATCCATGTTGCTACAAATGACAGGATCTCATTCTTTTTTATGGCTGAATAATATTCCATTGTGTAGTTGTACCATAATTTCTTTAATCCATGCATTCATTGATAGCCACTAAGTTGTTTTCACATCTTGGCTATTGTGACAAATGCTGCAATAAATATGGGAATGCCGATATCTCTTGAATATACTGATTTCCTTTCTTTTGGATTTATACCTAGCAGTGAAGGTCATATTATGTTAAGTGAAATAAGCCAGGCAAGAAAGACAAATATCATGTGTTCATGCTCATATGTGGAGCAAACATAAGTGGATCTCATAGAGGTAGAGAGTAAAATGGTGGTTACCAGAGGCTAGGAAGGGAAGGGGAATGGAGGGAATGAAGAGATGTTGGTTAAGGGCTATGAAAATACAGATAGGGAATAAGCCGGGTACAGTGGCTTGTACCTGTAGTCCCAAATACTTGGGAAGCTGAGGCTGGAAAATCATTTGATCCCAGGAGTTTGAGGCTGCAGCAAGCTCTGATCACACCATTGCATTCCAGGCTGAGCAAGAAAACAAGATCCTGTCTCTAAAAAAGAAAAAAAAAAAAAAAAAAAAAGGCTGGGTACAGTGGCTCATGCCCATAATCCCACCACTTTGGGAGGCTGGGGCAGGCAGATCACTTAACGTCAGGAGTTCGAGATGAGCCTGGACAACATGGTGAAACCTCATCTCTACTAAAAATACAAAAATTAGCTGGGCATGGTGGTGTGCGCCTATAGTCCCAACTACTCTGGCTGAATCAGGGGACTGGATTGAACCTGGGAGGCGGGGGTTGCAGTGAGCTGAAATATGCCACTGTACTCCAGCCTAGGCAGCAGAGCAAGACTCTGTCTCAAAAAAAATTTTTTAATTAGAATAAGTTTAGTATTCAATATAGTAGGAAAATTATAGCTAACAATAATGTATTATGTATTTTAAAACAGAAGAATTGTAAGGTTCCCAACATGAAGAAAAAATAAATGTGTGGTGATGGATATCCCAGTTACCCAGATTTGATCATTACACATTGTATATGGGTATCAAAATATCACATGTACCCCTAAAATATGTACAACTATTATATATCAATTAAAAAATAGCAAAGAAAGAAACTTCAATTTCTTGAACCCCTATTACATGTCAGCTGCTTGGTGCACATGTTCTCTTTTATTTGTCATGACCACTCTACCAAGTAAGTTAAGAAACGCCAAAGAGCCTGTCCAGTGATTAGTAGTAAATCAGGGTTAGGTGTGTGTGATTCCAAAGCACACGTGAGTCTTCCCACTCAGCAGCCTCCCTTCCCAGCTCAGAAACTGCCCTGTACAGCTAGGATTCAAGAGCAGGTGGAAATGGGTTTGTCTAAATCCCTTGTTCTGGACCCTGCTCACAACACTTTCCTTCCCACCTCACCCGAATAACTGGGATTACAGGTACCCCTCACCACACCCAGCTGATTTTTGTATTTTTATTAGAGATGGGATTTCACCATGTTGGCTAGGTTGGTCTCAAACTCCTGACCTCAGGTGATCCACCCACCTCAGCCTCCCAAAGTGCTGGGATTACAGGCATGAGCCACTGCACCTGGCCTTTCTCTCCCATTTTCTTACCAAAGATTAAGTAGAAGTGGAATGAGTAGCTGAAAAATAATTAAATAACTGAAAGTACTTTTTTTTTTAACTTGAATCATAGTATGGTCATACGCCTTAAGAAAACTGAGTTGACCATTTCCAGAAATACTATTTTCTAAATTAAGAACAAAACATACTAGATTCCAGTTCTGTAGTATATTCACCAACTTTACACATGAAGTTCAATTTCAAAATATTTACTTGAGTAATTACTATGGGCAAGATACTAGCTGAGCTTGGCTCTGGGGAGGTAAATGAATACAGCTTAACCCTGCTTAGATACGTAATTTTATTTTCTTCGTTGTATTTGTTTTAAAGCCAGTGCCAAAGGTATGGTTAGCTTTTTTTTTTTTTTTAGATGGAGTGTCGCTCTGTCACCAGGCTGGAACACCACAATGCAATCTCTACACACTGCAACCTCTGCCTACCGGGTTCAAGCAATTCTCCTGCCTCAGGCTCCCGGGTAGCTGGGATTACAGGCGTCCACCACCACACCCAGCTAATTATTGTATTTTTAGTGAAGACGATTTCACCATGTTGGCCAGGCTGGTCTCGAGCTCCTGACCTCAGGTGATCTGCCCACCTTAGCCACCCAAAGTGCTGGGATTACAGGTGTGAGCCACTGTGCCTGGCCTAGTTAGCATTTTTAAATATTAGGGCTATGTCAGTAAGCTCTGCTGTCTTGTTCATTTTATGAAAAGAGCAAGTTTGTAGATGTCTGGTCAGTATTATTTGATGTATTATATTCTGGGACATTTTGCGATGGCTACTTTTTCCAGATTGTAGGTCCTGTGATACTCTTGCAACCAGTAACATGTGCTTGACGGTGTCCATCTTTCTAAACTGGTGTTTTCTGTGGGTATTGCTCATTTTAAACAGAAAGTCAATAGTGTAGTAGTTATACTTGTCCCCCAACATCAGAAATGCAAATGGGCTTTTACAGTAATATTAGGTTTATATCTGTGGCCCATGTATTCCATTTATCAGCATGCATTTGAGGAGAGGTAGTGACAGTGTTAAGGGATAAGTTTTAAAAGAGGATAAAATCGTGATTCTCATACACATATACAGTGAGCATGTGTCAAGAAAAGATGGTAAATATCCCACAACAAGTTCAAAGGAGACATCAATAACAATAATGTATTGTATATTTCAACCACCAGTTTCTGTGTAGTAAAGGAATAGCAAAATGAATTTGCAAAAACTGGTCTATCCATAAGGCAATTATCATATTCTGCCAGAATTTGTAATTTGTATTTCTATAGATAAGAATTACTTACAATGCTATCCATTTTCTACAAGTGAACTCGTCTTTATAGGGTTGTAAAGTAACCTAGTCAAAGATGAATGCATGTATGTAATATATACTCCCATAGGACAACATAATCAATGGAGATGCCAGGATTCCATTGACAGACTATCCAATAACTCTTTTGGCCTTATAGAGTCTTACAGTTTTCATTATAGTAGCAATTGTTCATTATTAAAATTCTCTCTGGCCAGGCATGGTGGCTCATGCCTGTAATCCTAGCACTTTGAGAGGCCGAAGCAGGAGGATCGCGTAAGCCCAGGAGTTTGAGACCAGCCCAGGCAAAATACTCAGTCCCTCATCTTTACAAAAAATTTAAAAATTAGCTGGGTGTGGTGGTGCACACCTGTTGTCCCAACTGCTTGAGAGGCTGAGGTGGGAGGATCACTTGAGTCTGGGAGGCAGAGGTTGCAATGAGCCAAGATCGCACCACTACACTCCAGCCTAGGTAGCATTGCAAGACCCTGTCTCAAATTTTTGTCTGTTTTAATTTCATATGAATTTCTATTTGTATTTTACAGCGACAGCCCATACAGTGAGCACGGTACATTGGAGGAAGTGGACCAAGATGCTGGTACAGAGCCCCACACAAGTGAAGATGGTATGCCCTGTCCTTATGCTATTATAAAACCGGTCTTTATATCCCTATTGCAAACAATTGCTTGTATTAAAATTTTAGAGGCAAAGCACAGTGGCTCCCACCTATAATCCCAGCACTTTGGGAGGCCAAGGTGGATGATCACTTGAGCCCAGGAGTTCAACACCAGCCTGTGCAACATAGCGAGAGCCCATCTCTACAAAAAAATTAGCCAGGCGTGGTGATATGCACCTGTAGTCCCAGCTACGAAGGAGGGTGAGGTGGGAGGATTGTATGAGCCCAGGAGTGTGAGGCTACAGTGAACTAGGTTAGTGCCACTGCACTCCAGCCTGAGCAACAGAACAGACTGTCTTAAAAAACAAACAACAACAAAAAAAACGACTAGTAGATACAAAAAAATTTATAAAATATGTGTAAGGTATAAAAAATAACATTACAATGAAAACCAGTGGAATCACCACTAAGCTTAAGAAAAAAGACATATTATTTCCTTTGCACATCTCTGATCTGACTGCCTTACTTACCCCCTCAGGAATAACCACTATGTTTGTGTTTTTAAAGTTTCTTGTTTCCATTTCTATTTTCTTAAACCTTTTATAAATGGGATCATACTGTATCTATTTTTCGTGAGTTTTTTCTACTCAGTATTATGTTCCTGATGTTCATCTGTGCAGTTGCATGCAGTTTGAATTATTTTACCACTTTATAATATTCCATTGTATGTATCTATCTCATTTTGATGAATATATGAGGTATTTTCTACTCGTTGCTATTAAGAACAGTGCTACTATGCACTGTTACGAACATTTTGAACATGTCTCCTACTGAAATGTACAGGAGTTTCTCTAGGATGTATGCCTAGGAGTAACTGTGTCTTCAGCTTTACACTACACTGTCAACCCATTTTTATGAAGACAGTTGCTCCTTAGAGCTCCTGAGAGAAGTGGAGATGCCACGCCATGGGCGGCCACCTGGGGAAGTACCAGGTCTGTCGGGAGGCAGAGGGAAAGTGAAGACCTTGGTGTGCTTTCCACAGGAAGGAATGGGTATGGCAGGGTAAGCAGCTTTAGGGTTGGCTAATAGGAGTAATTTCAGCAGGCTCTGGGACATTAGGAGCTGTTCCAAGTTGTCTGGTACCTAGCCCTGGGGTGCTGAGAACAGGGCAGCAGTGGCCTGGAGTGGGAGAGCCTGATCATCAGGGTGGTGGGGTGTTGGCTCCAACTGGCAAGTTGGTGTTTGAAAAGCTTCCTTGTGGGTGAGTTGTTTACTGTCTCCAGAAATCGGCTAACCCTAAAGAGACTGTCCCTCCAAGGTCAGAAAGGCCCCAGACGTCAGAATACAAAATATAAAAGCTATGGTTAAAAATGTGTTTATGTATCTTTTATGAAATTCCTATCAAGTCTTTTGCCCATTTTTCTATGGAGTTCTCTGGGCTCTTTATGTTTGGTTCGCTTGGTTTGGTTTTAGTTGTTTTTTTCTTATTTGATTTGGAAGAGTCCTTTGTGGGTCCACATCAGGTCCTTTACTGGGTATATGCTTTGTAGATATCCTCCCCTACTCTGTAGCTTTGCTTTTCAAATGCTTGTGTCTTTTGCTAACCAGAAGATCTTAAAGTAGTTACATTGTCCAATCTTTCCTTCATGATCATTTTACCTGCATCTTCTTTAAGAAATCCTTCTATGTCTTGAGGTAATGAAAAATAATTCTCCCATATTTTCTTAATTTATTTTGGTAAGAGCACTTAAGTGTATAGTACCTAATTCTCTCATATTCTCTTACTTTATTTTGGTTAAGAACACTTAAGTATACAGTACCTAATTCTCCCATATTCTCTTATTTTATTTTGGTTAAGAACACTTAAGTGTAGAGTACCTTCACGTTGACCATAGGTACAGTGTTATACAGCAGATCTCTAGAGCTTGTTCACTTTGCTTGACCGAAACTTTATTCCCACTTGTTAGTAACTTCCCATTTCCCTCTCCCCCAAGCCTCTGGTAACCACCGTTCCACCTTTTGATTCTATGAATTTAGCTCTTTTAGATATCTCATTATAAGTGAACTTATATAGTATTTGTCTTTCTGTATCTGGCTTATTTCACTTAGCAAAACGTCCTCCAGGTTCATCCATGCTGTCACATATGTCAGGATGTCCTTCTTGTTATAATCTGAATAGTATGCCATTTTATTTACATATATTTTCTTTATCTGTTCATCTGTCCATGGTCATTTAGGTCGTGTCTACATCTTGGCCATTGTGAATAGTGCTGAAATGAGCATAGGAGTGCTAATATCTCTTGAAGATCCCGATTTCAGTTATTTTGGATAAATACCCAGAAGTGGGATGGTTGTGTCACATGGTAGTTGTATTTTTAAGTATTTGAGGAATCTCTATACCGTTTTCTAAAGCAGCTGTGTCATTTTGCATTCCCACCAGCAGTGTACAAAGGTTTCAGTTTCTCCACATCCTTGGTAATCCTTATCTTTTTTTATTTTTGTTTTTTGTCTTTGAGGCAGGGTCTCACTCTGTCACCCAGGCTGGAGTGCAGTGGCATGATCTTGGCTCACTGCAGCCTTGACTTCCCAGGATCCAGTGATCCTCCCACCTCAGCCTCCCAAGTAGCTGGGACTAGAGGCACATTTTACCATGCCCAGCTAATTTTTTGTAGAGGTGGGGTTTTGCCATGTTCCCCAGGCTGGTCTCGAACTCCTGAGCTCAAGCCATTTACTTGCCTTGTCCTCACAAAGTGCTGAGATTATAGGCATGAACCACTGCATCCAGCCAACACTTGTTATCTTTTGTTTTGTTTATTTCCTAACCTGGTGGGATAACCTCATTTGTGGTTTTGATTTGCATTCTCCTGATGATTAGTGATGTTCAGCATTTTTAAATATACCTGTTGGCTGTTTGTATGTCTTCTTTGGTGCCATATTCTTTTCATTCATTCATTCATGTATTATTTATTTATCAGGCTGGGTGCAGTTTGTAGGTCTTCTTTGGTGCTATATTCTTTTATTTTACTTACTTACTTACTTACTTACTTACTTACTTACTTACTTATTTATTTATTTGAGATGGAGTCTCTCTGTCGCCCAAGCTGGGATATAGTGGCATGATCTTGGCTCACCGCAACCTCCACCTCCTGGCTTCAAGCGATTCTCCTGCCTCAGCCTCCCGAGTGGTGGGGACTACAGGCATGGCTAATTTTTGCATTTTTAGTAGAGACAGTATTTCACCATGTTGGCCAGGCTGGTCTCATACTTTTGACTCAAGTGATCCACCCTCCTCAGCCTCTGAAAGTGCTGGGATTACAGGCATAAGCCATTGCATCCAGCCCCATATTATTTTAAATCCTTTAAGGTTTTACTTTTCACACATAGGTCTTTATTTCACCAGCAGTTTTTCTGGGGTTATGACGTGAGGTAGAGATCCATTCCCTTTTTCTTTACATGGATACATAATTGTCACAATTATCTCAGCATTAATTGTCCTTTCTTCACTGCTCTACATCTTTGTCATAAATGAAGTATCTTTGTGTGAATTTCCTCCTGGGCTCTATTCTTTTCTACTGGTCTATGTGTCTGTCCCTATATCACTGTCCTAAATTTTGATACCTTTTAATAAATCTTAATAGCTCATAAAGCAACACGTCTGCTTTGTAGTAATTCTTGGCCCTTTGCAATTCCACTTAAATTTTAGACTCAGTTTTTCAGGTTCTGCTGATAAAACTCTCTAAAACCCAACTGGTGTTTTGATTGCCCTTGCACAAATTCTACACATATTAATATGGAGAAAATTGATATCTTGACAATATTCAATATTCTAGTCCATGCACATATTTCCAGTTAGTTAATATCTCCAAGTAAACTTTTATTCTTTCTCTGTATAGATATTTTCATTTTCCAACCTAAGTTTAAGGCTTAGCATTCATTTTCAACACTTTTTACTTTTTAATGTAAACATTTAAAGCTGTCAGTTTTCTCTACTCCTTCAGCTATATGCACAAATTCTTTTCAGCTGTAACTAATCTTCTTTAAGCATATCCATTCATTAAAGTTTTATTTTTAAATATTTTTCTTTTTTTTTTTTTGAGACGGAGTTTGGTTTTTTTTTTTGTTTTTTGTTTGTTTGTTTGTTTGTTTGTTTTTGAGACGGAGTTTCGCCCTTGTTACCCAGGCTGGAGTGCAATGGCGCGATCTCGGCTCACCGCAAACTCCGCCTCCTGGGTTCAGGCAATTCTCCTGCCTCAGCCTCCTGAGTAGCTGGGATTACAGGCACGCGCCACCATGCTCAGCTAATTTTTTGCACCATTAATAGAGACGGGGTTTCACCATGTTGACCAGAATGGTCTCGATCTCTTGACCTTGTGATCCACCCACCTCGGCCTCCCAAAGTGCTGGGATTACAGGCTTGAGCCACCGCGCCCGGCCAGACAGAGTTTTGCTCTTTTTGACCAGGCTGGAGTGCAATGGCACGATCTCGGCTGACTGCAACCTCCACCTACCAGGTTAAAGTGATTCTCCTGCCTCAGCCTCCTGAGTAGCTGGGATTACAGGTGTGCACCACCATGCCCAGCTAGTTTTTATATTTTTAGTAGAGGTGTAGTTTCACCATGTTGGCCAGGCTGGTCTCGAACTCCTGACCTCAGGTGATCTACCTACCTCAGTCTCCCAAAGTGCTGGGATTACAGGTGTGAGCCACAGTGCCCAGCCTTTAAATATTATTTCTTTCTACAAGTGTATTTAGTGTGCTTTTATATCCGCTGCTTGATGATCTTTTACAGTCTGTTGCTGTTTATTCATCAGTGCTTCCTATCAGAATATGTGTCTGATAATTTTCATATGTCTTCTCAAATTTGTTTTGTTGGCTCTCACTCATTCAGTCTTATTTGCCACTGTGTTTGTAAATTTTGTATAGATTTCTTGGTACTTTAGGCTCAGTGGAAGGTAGATTCTTCCAGAGAGGGTTTTCATGTATTTCTGCCTTGCTTACAACCAGCCTAACAACATTGAATTTTTAGCTTGAAGTTTTTCAAACCACCCAAGTAGCGTGAATTTAAACTGCAAACCTACCTGAGAACTGGAATGTGGATGGGATTCTCAGTTGATTTGTGAAAAAGTTTAAGATAGATTATTTGCTATCTATCTTAAACCTTGACACAAATCATCAGAGGGTGGAGGGCGGGGGAGATGGTTACCATCTATGGAGAGGTATTGAGAGCTAAAAGGGGAAAAGATTTCTAGAACTAGATGTTCTAGAACTAGAAGTGTTTTAAAAAGTTCTAGAACACTAGAGTGAGGTTCACTATGAAACTGAGGGTGTAATTCTCTGGGGCTGGAGAGGGCAAGAGGCTTATATTCCTATCACTGAGCAAGCCCTGGACTTAATCACCTGTGAAAAAAATTTTAAAAGCTTAAGGTGACCAGGGTAGAAAAATGCCCGCAAGGTAAAATCCAACTCGTGTTCTAATGTTCTGCTTACCTCTCTGGGTTCCCACTTTTGTTGTATTTTGGTCTTTAGTATTCTTTGCTGTTTTGATAGCTTATTAATATAATTACGAAGGTTTGTTGTTTGCTTTTTAATCCAGCATTTTTGGATGATTCTAGCAGGAGGGTAATTAAGGTATCTAGTGTCCACTATATGCTAAAAAAAAAAAAAAAAAAAAAAAAGTGTTTTTTGTGTCTTTTGTGTGTGTGAGAGAGAGAGAAACAAGGAAGGTTTCACTCTGTTGCCCAGGCTGGAGTACAGTAGCACAATCTTGGCTCACTGCAGCCTCAACCTCCTGGGGCCAAGCAGTCCTCCCACCTCAGCCTCCTGAGTAGCTGGAACTACAGGCATGCATCACCATGCCCGGCTAATTTTTGTATTTTTTATAGAGATAGGGTTTTCCTATGTTTCCCAGGCTGATCTCAAACTCCTGGGCTCAGATGATCCTCCTGAGCTCCAGTGATCCTCCTGAGATCCAAAGTGCTGGTATTAGAGGCATGCGCCACCCACACCCTGCCTTCTTTGTGTCTTTAAAAGTAAAATCAGTTGACATTTTCTGCACTTAAGTTACAAGATATCCTTCTATTTCTGCGATGTTGCTCTTTTTTTTTCTTTAGAGACTGGGCCTTACTCTGTTGGCCAGCGTGGGTTTTGAACTCCTGGCCTCAAGCAGTCCTCCTTCCTTGGCCTCCCAAAGTGCTGGGATTACAGGTGTGAGCAACCATGCCCAGCCTGTGATGTTGCTTTTGAAAGTCTGAGTCCTGCCTCTGCCACCATCCTTTCTTTTGGGTTTCTTTCTTTTTCACTCTGCCTTCTCTTAGGTGTTTCCCTGCTTTCCCCAGTAGCCAGAAAAGCCAGGACAAAGCCCAGCCATCTCTATTCCCAAACATGAATCTCGCTATCATGCCATCTGCCTTTTACCTCGTGACTATAAGAGAGCTTTGCTGAGTGCTCTGTGTTTAGATAACATTTTTATTATTTTTTCGAAACAAGCAACAGAATTATCAGACTCTGCTTATTTATTCAAATGTGGGCAGGTTATGACAGGATAACCAGATAAATCAGCAGAAATCACCTGATTTTTCTGAAAAGAAAAACATTGCTTACAAAAACCAGATATTCTTATCCACAGCCAACCCCCAGAGTCCTGTAACTGAATTAACTAGACTATCAATTATCCTTTCATTACCCAGGTATTGTATTTTTTTCTTTGTCATGGTATCACTAAAGAGAGCAGCTTTTGTTTCTGAAAAACAGGCTGTCACAGAACAAAACCATTCTCCGCAAGGACAGTGGGTAACAGATCTAGGAGGGAAAATGTCAGCAACAGCAAGGTCCCAAAGAGAAAGTATGATCACATTTTATATAACGTTACCAAAAATGGAAATATAAGACTTGACAGCACCAGGCAGTCAGGAAATCAGCTGTACTGAATTGTCTTCCCTTTTCCACAAAATTATATTACCCATGCAGGAAAACTAAGTGATCATGTTGCACTCTCACTATTATTGTTATTGATAGCAGCAGTGGCAGCGTTCTACGAAGTCTCTGCAGGAGCTTAAAGTACTGTGAGGCTCTCTGTATGAAAGAGGCATAGTTTACAGTGCCCTGAGATTGATTTGCTCTGCAATGACCAGACTAAAATGTGTGTAAATAGCTTATTGATTGACACTTGACTGTGAAATGGCTCTCACAGGAGTAGAAAGAGTAAAAATAATGAAATTGCTGAGAATTACTAGTTGATGTACTAAGATTGCCAATAAAATGTTCTGCTGATTTATCTGGTCATGCTGTCATAACCTGTCCACATCTGAATAAATGAGAAGAGTCTGATAATCCTGTTGCTTGTCTAAATCCTTTAACAATTGAATATAACTTTTAGATTATATGTTAATATGCTGATATTCCCCCAAATTATATTTTATGAAAACAACATAAATAGCAGCTTTATTAAACATCTATGTGTCTACTTCATAGAGGAGGGACTATAACTTTACATTGAAAGGGAATGAGCTTATTACAGTTCAAAACTTAAAGAATAAAAAATTCTGGTTGACCTGAGATGACAGATGCTCAAATATGTGTCCCAGTTATTCCTGTGAAAAAGAAATAAACATCCCAGGAAAGAATGAAGACATGCTATTTTTTGTTTTTTTGAGACAGGGTCTCACTTTGTCACCTTTTCAATATGTTTGCTGGTTTTTCTGCTTTTGCTTTCTGTGTCCCTGAGAATTTTGAATTTATCAAACGAGAAAGAAGCCCAGCTGTCTAAGAATTTCTCTTGCAGTTATTACAAGTAACAATGGCTATTGCAGCAAACTTTGGGAAGGATAAACTCTTTAAATGGGAAACTTTGCTACCAAGGGGAAATAGAAGACAACTTCCTAGGAAAATTTTTTAAATAGGCAGTTTTTAATCTCTTCTGTGTACACATATATTTAAAGTATTTGGAAACAAATACATGCTCAGTTTTTAGCAAATGATGCATTGCTCATTGTATAGGCATATTCCTAGTAAGCTTATGCCCCCTGCCTTGGCCCCTTTTTGTTCTGTTTATTATTGAAAAGAAGTTTACTCACCTTTGTTGATCACAGGGCTAAGGATGAGGTACTTGCAGGAGAGGGGAGAAAAGGTCATATGGCCTCAAATTGAAGAGCTTCTTGGAATAAGATAAATCACAAAGAAATACCTCTTTCGGTGCAAGCAGCAGTTCGCCCTCCTGTTTGCCTTCAATATTTGTGGTCAGAATTACTTCAGAGCTGAGTTCTAGTTCTAAGCCTAGCATCTGATATCTTTTTTTTTCTAACTTATTATTTTGAAATCATTGTAAATTCACAAGCTGTTGTTAAAAACAATATAGAGAGATCTCATATACCTTCTGCCAGTTTCTGTCAATGATGGTATCTTACAAAACTATAATATTATTTCACAAGCAGGAAACTGACCATGTTATAAACCATTCACCATATAAATGTTTCACCAGTTTTACATTTCACCAGTTGCCATCTTTACATCTGCCATCATCTTTGTATGTGTGTTTACTTCTATACAGTTTTATCACATGTATAGCTTTGTGTGACTACAACCCGTAGTCAAGATAACAAACGGTTCCATTACAAGGAACCCTCGTGCTACCCTTTATAGCCACGGCCACTTCCCTCTATCACCTCCCCAACCCCAACCTCGGGCAGCCATTAATATATTCTCCATCTCTTATGTCATTTGAAGAATGCTATATAAATGGAATTGTATGGCATGTAACCTTTTGAGATTGGCTTTTATCACTCGCCATCATTCCCTTGAATATCTTTTGATCTCAAGAAAAATAAAAATTTTGAATCTGTTTATTTCATTTGGATAGAGGGCAATGTAAGGCATGCTTGTTTCATGGTTGAGATCCAAAATTTGTTAGATACCAGAGAAAAAAAATTGGGATTACCATAAGTATTAGCTTGAAGATTTGATACTGCCAAAGAGCATATGTGGAAATTAAATGTATTCACATACTGTGTATTGTGATTTTACTTGATTTTTTTTAAGACGGAGTCTTACTCTGTTGCCCAAGCTGGAGTGCAGTAGCACAGTCTCAGCTCCCTGCAACCTCAACCTCCGAGGTTCAAACAATTCTCCTGCCTCAGCCTCCCGAGTAGCTGGAATTACAGTCAGACATCACCATGTGCAGCTAATTTTTTGTATTGTTGGTAGAGACGGGGTTTCGCCATGTTGGCCAGACTGGTCTCAAACTCCTGACCTCATGATCTGTCAGCCTCAGACTCCCAAAGTGCTGGGATTACAGGCATGAGCCACCGCGCCCAGCTGATTTTTTTTTTTTTAATAAGCTGGTAAACCATAAACTTCCTAATGTTCTGAGATGACTTTTTTTCATGTTATAAATGGCATTAACTTGTTACAAGGACATTCCATCAGTGTCATCCATCAATGTCAAAATCATATTGAAGCAACTGTGGAGGATATTACAACTCAAAGAGATTTTATATATCTTATTGCAAAGTTTAAAGTGTTTCTTATTTGACTGTCATTATATCTCTAGAAAGAGGCTGTGGAAATGAAGCTCCAATGTTCAGTTTTTCTTTGCCTGCAAAACTGATGACAGCAGGAGAATGTTTTTCTGTATCTTTTTAAACAGCCTATATTTCTCCTGCCTTGACGATTGTTGATGACTCTGTTCAGTGTGGATATTAAAATGGTCTTGATTATTTAAAGCCTCCTACAGCCCTCACAGATAGGATACCATGCCTTCCTAATAACCCTGTTTCTCGCTGTTTTTTTGGTGTGTTCTTTGTAGAATGTGAGCCAATAGAAGCAATAGCCAAGTTTGACTATGTTGGGCGGTCTGCCAGAGAACTATCCTTCAAGAAGGGTGCCTCCCTGCTGCTGTATCACCGCGCATCTGAGGACTGGTGGGAAGGCAGGCACAACGGGATTGACGGGCTGGTGCCTCACCAGTATATAGTGGTGCAGGATATGTGAGTAGTCTCAACTTTGATTGCCTGAATGCTCCCAATAGAGAACTCCAGCCATTGTTCTTAAACTGACCTTGGTCTTGTGAGAAAGGAGCAGAAGGGATTACAGAGATAAAACTTCAGAGCTGGGCACAATTCTTCACCTTGCCAGTGGCTCTTTGCTAACAATAAGTCAGGACCAAGAGGTTTGGAGCAAGATCTAGGGGGCGACATCTTCTGAAGCGTTCATATTCTTGGAAAAATAACCTGTGCAGAGAATGGTGTTAAGTGCTGAAGTGACATTGGTAATTCCAAAAACAGCAGTGGTCGTCTCTTGATGTCTGTTTACCATTTCAATTCCAGATTCCCCGGAGGGAGGACATTGACCTAAAGTCAGAGGGAATCATCACTATGCTTTTTTTTTTTTCCTGAGGAGAAAGCTCTAATTTCAAAAGTAGTTAAAGGCCTAATTTCAGAAATGTTAAAATATGTATTTCAGAAGCCATGAAATGTGTGTATATACCAACATGTAGTGATATATATCTGAAATATCTACATATATTTCTATATAAAATAAATTTGCATAAACAGCAATACAGTCATGTACCACCCCATGACATTTTGAGCATCGGTGGTCCACATATATGATGATGGTCCCATAGAATTTAATATCCTATTTTTACTGTACCTTTTCTATATTTAGATATGTTTAGATAGACAGATACTTGTTTACACGATTGTGTTACAACTGCCTGTAGTATTCAGTACAGTAACATGCTGTGCAGGTTTGTAGCCTAGGAGCAATAGGCTCTACCATATAGCCTAGGCGTGCATCTGGGTTTGCGTAACTGTACTCTCTGATGTTCCCATGATGACGAGATTGCTTGACAACACATTGCTCAGAACATACTCTCGTTATTAAGCAACATGTGACTGCAGTGCAAATGCCATACATATGTGCGTGCACACTCACAGATATGTATCCCAGGCATAGCATAGAAGGTGGGGAAGGATATTTCTTAAAATTCTAACGGTAGTTGTCTCTGGCTGTTATATTATGGGGGATTATTTCCCCCTTTTTTATATAACTGAAATTGCTGATTTGCCTGTAATGAAATTGTATCGCTTTTATAATGAAAAGAAAAAAGTTATTTTAATAAAAGAAGGACTCTCACCTACAAATGTTATCATGTAAATTTTTATCTCCACTCATCTAGCAAAAGACCCTCATTCATGATTCTTACTGTTTCAGGGATGATACATTTTCAGACACTCTGAGCCAAAAAGCCGACAGTGAGGCCAGCAGTGGGCCAGTCACGGAAGACAAGTCCTCATCCAAGGACATGAACTCCCCGACAGACCGCCATCCTGACGGCTATTTAGCCCGGTAAGTGGAGCCTGGGAATCAGGCCCTAAACCTCCATCCTCTCAGGGCCACGAGTAGCCACTGCACGCTCAGCCTTGCAGTACCGCCCAGTGTGATAAGCTCTTCTATTTTCTCCCTGCTTCTGTGAATGTCTAGGCAAAGAAAAAGAGGAGAGCCACCCCCTCCAGTAAGGCGTCCTGGCAGGACCAGTGATAGCCATTGCCCACTCCACCCTCCACATACCCTTTCCAACTCCTCAGTTGACCTGGGGTCCCCGAGCCTGGCCAGTCACCCCCGGGGCCTGCTACAGAACCGTGGCCTCAACAGTGACAGTCCTGAGCGGAGGCGCAGGCCTGGCCATGGCAGCCTGACCAACATCAGCCGGCACGACTCCCTCAAGAAGAACGACAGCCCTCCAATTAGAAGGTCCACGTCATCAGGGCAGTACACAGGCTTCAATGACCATAAGCCACTGGACCCAGAGACAATTGCTCAGGTACAGTTGTCTTTATGTAATTATGCTTTTAATTACATATTACATTTTAAGTACCCAGGTGTGATGTAGGAAGTATGAAGGATTCACTTTATGTAGCCATATTTCTATATAGAACCAACTAAAGAAAACAGAAACAAAACCAGCTAATTCTTTACCTTAAGGCCTGGCTGTGCATCTTTTTTGAACAATTTGTTACTGAAAGGGCCCTAAGGTTCATTGTAATGTAAACAGAAACATGACAGAAACGTAAGACCCAGGACATTCAAACCTATCATTGTGAATAGCCAGAAAAACTTTGGAAGACTGGGCACAGTGGCTCACGCCTATAATCCTAGCACTTTGGGAGGCCAAGGTGGGCGGATCACCTGAGGTCGGGAGTTCAAGACCAGCCTGACCAACATGGAGAAACCCGTCCCTACTAAAAATACAAAATTAGCCGGTGTGGTGGTGCATGTCTGTAATCCCAGATACTCAGGCAGCTGAGGCAGGAGAATCACTTGAACCTGGGAGGCGGAGGTTTTAGTGAGCCAAGATCACATCATTGCACTCTAGCCTGGGCAACAAAAGCGAAACTCCACCTCAAAAAAAAAAAAACCTTTGGAAAAGAAGACTAAGGAAGCAGTGGCCCCACCAGATCCTAAATGCATTCTAAAGCTAGTAAAACAGACAGATGGATGAAACAGAATGGAGAGCCCAGAAACAGAAAAATCTTAAAACAGTAGTCCCTCCTCATTGGCAGGGCGTATGTTTCAAGACCCTCAGGGGATGCCTGAAACCACAGATAGTACAAACCCCTACTGTATATGATAAAGATGGCACTTTCAACTTAGAAAAGATGGAAGACCTAAAACATAATGTGATCAATAACAGATAGACATTTGAAGAACAGTCTGGATGTTACATACTTCCTGAACACATTCAGGTCTTCACCTCCCAGCAGTGACTGCAGAAAGGGACTCTGTAGTTTTCTTCTAATGATTAAAATTGACAAAGTAAAAGGGAAACAATACGAATGAATTTGCCCATCATTCCACCATTTTGCTCTCTGGTTCTGGCTCCTTTTATAGCATAGGTCATAAGAAAATATGTTTATAGGCCTGGTGGGTAGCTTATACCTGTAATCCCAACACTTTAGGAGGCCGAGGCAAGAGGATTGCTTGAGCTCAAGAGTCTGAGACAAGCCTGGGCAATATAACAAAACCCTATCTCAACAACAAGAACAACAAAAATTAATTAGCTAGGTATGTTAGAGTTCTGTAGAGGGACAGAATTAATGGAATGAACATATACACACACACACACACACACACACACACATACAGGAGAATTTATTAAGTATTAACTCACACAATCACAGGGTCCCATAGTAGACTATCAGCAGGCTGAGGAGCAAGGAGAGCCAGTCTGAGTTCCAAAACTGAAGAACTTGGAGTCTGATGTTCGAGGGCAGGAAGCATCCAGCTTGGGACAAAGATGTAGGCTGGAAGGCTAGGCCATTCTAACCTTTTCACGTTCTTCTGCCTGCTTTATATTCACTGGCAGTTGATTAGATGGTGCCCATCCAGATTAGGAGTAGGTCTGCCTTCCCCAGCCCACTGACTCAAATATTAATCTCCTTTGGCAACACCCTGACAAATACACCCAGGAGTAATACTTTGCATCCTTCAATCCAAGTTGACACTCAGTATTAACCATCACACTAAGAGTGGTGGTGCGTGCCTGCAGTCCCAGGTACTTTGGAAGCTGAGGCAAGAGGATTGCTTGAGCCCAGGATTTGGAGGCTACAGTAAGGTATGATTGCACTACTGCACTCCAGCCAGTGTGACGGAGCAAGACCCTATCTCTAAATATATATACATATATATATATTTTTTATATATATATAAAATATATATATTTTTTATATATATTATTATTTATTTATGTTTATAGCCAGTGACAAAAGAGGTGAATAGATTCAGGGTTTACCATTTGAATAATCTAAAGCAGCTTCCAGCTATCTCTAAAGTTTAAAAACTAAGTAGATTTCAAAAAAGAGTGAATGCAAAATGAATGAAACATGGGAAAGTATTAAAGATGGATTATTTGTAATAAAAAGCACCCAAGGAACATGCCCTAATATGACAAATGTCCAAGCTATTTTGAGTGTCCTAACTAAAAAGAATTTTGGACAGCAGATTAGATTGTGAGAAGTTTAATGTGTTTTTTAAAAATTAAACCAATTTTAAGTATACAGCAACTTCTCAGCAAAAATCAAAAAGGCTTTGACAGTTTTATTTTTTTCTGTTTAAAGTGCTATGCAAGGCCCCTTTGAGGCATATTTACAACCAGCAATATTTTACTACAATTGAATTTAATGATTTGAAAAACTCATAATCTCACTGCTTATAATAAGCAGGTAAAATATAATTTGGGTTAGAGAGACAGGGATTTAGGTGCTTAGAGGTGGGAAGGCATATAAAGGTCTGTTAACTCTTTGACTTCAAGAATCAGGAAATTTTTAAAATTGTAAATCATAAAAACAGGCTGGGCACAGTGGCTCATGCCTGTACTCCTAGCACTTTGGGAGGCTGAGGCTCATGGATTACTTGAAGTCAGGAGTTCAAGACCAGCCTGGCCAACATAGTGATACCCCGTCTCTACTAAAAATGTTTTCAAATTAGCTGAGTGTGATGGCAGGCACCTGTAATCCAAGCTACTCGGGTGCTGAGGCACAAGAATCACTTGAACCCAGGAAACAGAGGTTTCAGTGAGCCGAGATTGCAGTATTGCACTCCAGCCTAGGCGACAGAGTGAGACTCCGCCTCAAAAAAAAAAGTAAATTATAAAAACAAAAACAGATAACTAGGCTCTCCACATGCCTCTGAAGTAAATACTTATAAAAAAGGCAAAAAATCCGTATGTTTAGCCACAAATGGAAATCACATATGAAAGTAATAACTTGAAAAGTGATGTCACGCTCATAAAATGGCTTCCAGATTTATTTTTTATCTTGCCATCTCTAGCCTTCAGATTTTCCCATGGACAAGTGAGCATGCCATTATGGTGTTCCAAAAAATACAAATTATTTTATTAAACAAATTAATGGAATACCTGACAGATTTTTTAAAAGACTACCACATCCGTACATAATCATCATGTCTTAGTTTATTCATTATTGGAGACTGTGATTTAATATCAGATTATTCCTTTAGCAAATCTTTGTTGAGCATTTATTGTATGCCAGGTCTCACACTAGCTTTTTTGCAAAGTTAACCAGTAGCCACAGCCTCAAAGTGCTCACATTCAATCTAGTCAAAGAAATGAATAGGGAAATCAGTTAACCATTAAACCATGCCATGAGGGTTATGCTCCAGCTGAGTGGGAGAAGCCCTGGGAATATGCAGGGAAGAAACATTTCAGTCAGACCAGGGCAGGGGTTCTCCACTCTAGCTCAAACAACAGTCTGCCTTTTTCTTTTTTCTTTTTTCTTTTTTTTTTTTGAGATGGCATCTCACTCTGTAGCCCAGGCTGGAGTGCAGTAGCACGATCTCCGCTCACTGCAACCTCCACCTCTCAGGTCCAGGTTCAAGCAATTCTCCTACCTCAGCCTCCCAAGTAGCTGGTATTACAGGCATGAGCTACCATGCCCAGCTAATTTTTATATATTTTAGTAAAGACGGGGTTTCGCCATGTTGGCCAGTCTGGTCTTGAAATCCTGACCTTGAGATCCACCCACCTCGGCCTCCCAAAGTGCTGGGATTACAGGCATGAGCCACTACACCCAGCCTCCTTTTTCTTTTTAAATTGTGGTTTAAAATAACAATAATAATAAAATAAAATTTACCATCTAAACCATTTTTAAACGTATAGTTCAGCAAAGTATACACATTGTTGTGAAACACCTCTTCAGAATGTTTTTGTCTTGCAAAACCAAAACTAGGTACATATTAAACAACTCCCATTTCACCCTCCTCCAGTCCCTGGCAACCACCATTCTACTTTTTGTTTCTATGAATTTGACTCCTTTAGATACTACATATAAGTGGAATCATATAGTATTTGCATTTTTTGTGACTGGCTTATTTCATTTAGCGTAATGCCCTGAAGGTTTACACATGCTGTAGCATGTGATAGGACTTACTTCCTCTTTAAGGCTGAATGATATTCCTTTGCATGAATATACCGTATTTTGTTTATCCTTTCATTAATGGGGCACACTCTACCTTTTTGAAACAAATTTATTGTAACACCCCCCAACCCCCCTTTTAATATCTGAAATAAATTGACTTTTTTTTTTTTTAAGACACTGTCACCCAGGCTGGCATGCAGTGGCGCCATCATGGCTCACTGCAACCTCTGCCTCCTGGGTTCAAGCAATTCTTCTGCCTCAGCCCTGTGAGGAGTTGGGCGTGTGCCACCACGCCTGTCCATCTGAAATAAATTGATTGATAATATATCTATTTTGAAATATATATATAAAGCTCTAAATAGAATATAAAATAAAAATAAAGGGAAATTGACATTAAAACAATTAAATGTTATTGCAGTTAATTACTGACTACACTAGAAGACAAATGAAGTAGTGAAATGCTTTTTCCTACATGGTAGTTTCCATTAATGCAGTAATTAAAAATACATGTTGATATAGGAGTATTAATTGAGTTAACTCAAATTCCGTGAAAAAAGGATCCAATCAGTGGTGATGCATTTCTCCAAAATATTGAACAACCCTTGGTCATACTGTTCCAATAAAAACAAAAAATAACTTGCCTAAAACAAAGAATAACATTCCTAAAAAATTTAATGCCATCAAAAATATTTTGTGTTATATGTTAGAAAAAGAGTTAGGTTCTAGACTCAGGTAATTAAGAAGAGAATTTTCATCTATATAAATGTCTGGAGGACATTCAAAAGTTGAACAAGATGCAGGAAAATTCGTTGGATATTAACTCACCAAGGCACTTGCAAGATACCTAATATGTCTGGCCCTGCCCACCAACTGCCGATAATGCAACCTTGTTACTGTGACTTTAAAAATCACACCATACATCATATTACAAAAATGCCCTTTATGAGATAGTACCACTTTCATTGAAATCCACTGGAAAATGATATTGGGGAAGACTTAAGCTGAATTTCCAAGAACTTCTTGGAATTAGCCAAGTGTATAGTAAGTGCACAAAAATTTGTTGAATGAATAAATGAAGCCGATTTTTTAATTCCTATAATATTATATTTATTTATTTCTTGATAAATTATTGCAGTATCTAAATTTAAGCTTTTATCATAAAAACTGACAAACTTGGCCAAGTGTGGTGACTCATGCCTGTAATCTCCACACTTTGGGAGGCCAATGTGGGCAGATGATGAGGTCAAGAGTTCGAGACCAGCCTGGCCAACATGGTGAAACCCTGTCTCTACTAAAAATACAAAAATTAGCCAGGCATGGTGGCAGGCACCTGCAATCCCAACTACTTGGGAGGCTGAAGCAGGAGAATTGCTTGAACCTGGGAAGCAGAGGTAGCAGTGAGCCGAGATTGCACCACTGTACTCTAGCCTGGGTGACAGAGCAAGACTCTGTCTCAGGGGAAAAAAAAAGTTGAAAAACTTTTCAAAAGTTTTCATAAACTTTTATCATAAATTGAAATAGAATTCTATATAAGAAGTCAGCATGAAGTCATGGTGGCTTACACCTATAATCCCAGCACTTTAGGAGGCAGAGGCAGGAAGATTACTTGAGCCCAAGAGTTCAAGACCAACCTAGGCAACTAGCAAAACCCCATCTCTACAAAAAGTTTAAAAATTACCCAGGTGTGATAGCACACACCTGTGGTTCCAGCTACTCAAGAGGCTGAGGTGGGAGGATCACATGAGCCTAGGAGTTTGAAGCTGCAGTAAGCCTATTCACACCACTGCACTCTGCCTGGCTGACAGAGTGAGACCCAGCCTCAAAAAAAAAATTTTTTTTTAAGTCAGCCTGCAAGGCAGAGACCATTAGAAGGCTACCTAGGGCCTTAGGAAGCCCAATGTTTGATGCATGGCCCCATGACCCATTGTATCTTAGTCTCCTGAATCAAGAATCAAAATAATTGTGTGAGATGGCATTAGGTTTATATATTCTGCAGACTATGGAGTTAAAATATACTCTCTGCTGGGCTGTTTACTTTGAAATTAAGTGTCTGGGTTTCTATACATTAATATTCATTATCAGTCTATGCTTTCTGTCTTTCTGATTATTCTTCAATAGGATATTGAAGAAACGATGAACACAGCTTTGAATGAACTCCGAGAACTGGAGAGACAGAGCACAGCGAAGCATGCCCCTGATGTGGTGCTGGATACCCTGGAACAAGTGAAAAACTCTCCCACCCCTGCCACTTCCACGGAATCTCTCAGCCCTTTGCACAACGTTGCCCTCAGGAGCTCCGAGCCTCAGATTCGACGTAGCACTAGCTCCTCCAGTGACACAATGAGTACTTTCAAGCCCATGGTGGCACCCAGAATGGGTGTGCAGCTGAAGCCTCCAGCCCTTCGGCCAAAACCTGCTGTTCTTCCAAAAACAAATCCTACCATAGGACCTGCCCCACCTTCCCAGGGTCCAACAGACAAGTCTTGCACAATGTAAAAACCAGCTGAGCAAGGCCATGAAGGGAGGTGACTTAAAAAAGAAAACGAATTAGTGACAAAAGTCACTGATCCCTAACTTTCCTTAGTTTTGTGCTTATAACTGGAGATCTTTTGGCTTTTCTATGTTGTCGAATGTAATGTCTGAGACTAGCTAAATTAACACGGGCATTTGTATTTTGTAATTTTTTTAAATAACTGGACATATGTCATTTTAAGGACAATAGAAACACTTAGACTTACTTGAAAATCCAATGCTGCACCACTTGTAATGAAGGCAACACCGCTCTCCACATTGTACAGTGCTTCGGGGTTAGTGTAGCCCAGGTGAGTCAGAAATGTTGGGACCTGAAGGCAGGAGAACCCGAATTCCACACCTCATTGGAGGATTGCCAGTGTTGGTCTGTGGCACTTGGGGTAATGGCTGAAAGGTGATAATGGCATTGTGTGGTAGCTGACAATGAGCACCTTCGGTTCCATGTGGGGCGGGATTTAGCGCATGCACAAGACTTGCAGTTGTCTGCATGGGACGATCCCAGTGGGACTGTCAGCCCACAGCTCGAGTGGGTTGGATGCTTGCCTCTTTCCTAACAGTCATTTCCCTGGGTCCAGCTTAAAGAGTCAGTGGAAGCGGTTGGAACCTCTGCTGTTATTGCTTGAACTTAACCTGGGAAAGGAGGGGAAGACACCATCTCCAAAGCTATTAATGTCACTCCTTTTGCAAACATGATGAAGCCCCGGAGATTTCCAAGTCCCTCCCCTACACTTATGACTAAAAGGATTTGATTTTAAAGACTTTTAGTGACACTACCACACAAACTCCTCCAAAGATCTCTTGTTCAGCAACTGCCCAGAAAATGTTTCTATCTCCCCTAAATCCCTGTGTTCTCCTCTGAGGAAATGAAAGCAAGAAGTACCTGAGGTCTTGGTTCCTGCAGTGTTCTCTTTTGACTGAATCACCTAGGTTCCTTTAAACATGCTGCAAATCCCGGACGTGGTGGTACACCTGTAGTCCCAGCTACTCAGGTGCTTTACACAGGAGGATGGCTTTGAGCCTAGCAGTTTGAGTCCAGCCTGGGCAGCATAGCGAGTACCTGTGTCTTCAAAAAACAAAAGCTACGAAGGCCTGATGATCCTAAATTTGAAATCCCAACTGTCCTCTCCATTTGTCTTTGAGCCAACCCCAAACCGGCTCTGCGTAAGAGCCATGCAGGAGATTACCCTGTGGTTCTCACCCAGTTGTGTACCTCAGAACCACGACTTCTCTTTCTCTTTTCCCTTTTGTTGTTTTGTTTTTTGTTTTTGTACGTGGTCTCTATATAACTCCCATAATTAGCTGAACTCTCAGTTAGGGACCCTCTTTCTCTGGCATACTAGCACACAGACAATTTCTTAAGCCCATATTTATGCTATATTTTCCCTCATTTTAAGAAAATTTGCTTTGAATTTTATTCTACCAGCAGCAGCTGATGTCACCTGTAGACCTATGAGCATTTTATCTACTCTATCATTGAAGTTACTGATAAAGATTTTTGTTGTTGTTGTTGTTCAGAAAAATGTATTTCCCAGAACTAATCCCTCTGGCCCACCATTAATTTCCTTCTTGATTTTGCTTCAAACTGGCAGCCAATTGCACCTCAGAGTTACACAGTATAGATTTTACTTCGTCGGCCCGTAGGTGACTGCATTGAGAAGTGAATCAGGATCTGTACTAAAAACCAGATCATTACTTTGATCTCTACCTCAGTTTGCCACTCTAGTCATTCTATTGCAGGAAGAGATTAAATTGATGAGATATTGTTACCTTTCAAAGTCACACTGCTGGTTGCTTGCCTATAGCCTAATTCCACAAATGGATTGAATAGTGGTTTTTTCCCCATGTATTTCTAGATATGATAAACTTTTAAAACTCTGAACTTTTAGAGCTATCCTTTTTACCCATTTTGAAAAAACTGCCCAGGTCAGCACCTTGTCCAGCCCCTCCCCATTTCTCCTGAGCTTTCGGGGTCCTTCAGCAACTTTGGACACCATGACCCAGCCAGGACTGAGCTTTGAATAGCACTGTCCCTTTTAAACAATCCTGCTTAGGAAGTTTAAACGTTCCTAAATAATCCCCCACTGTTTTTTTTTTTAGGCAGAGTCTCACTCTGTCCCCGAGGCTGGAGTACAGTGGTGCAATTTCATTTCACTGCTACCTCCGCCTCCTGGGTTCAAGAAATTCTCCTGTCTCCGCCTCCTGAGTAGCTGGGATTACAGGCGCTGCCACTATGCCCAGCTAGAGACAGGCTGGCCTTGAACTCCTGCCCTCAGGCGATCCACCTGCCTCGGCCTCCCAAAGTGCTGGGATTACATGCGTGAGCCACCATGCCCAGCCATTCCCCCACTTCTTTAAAATAGTAAAAATTCTTAAAAACCATATTCCTTGTTTGATGGAAGAGTAAGATGTTAACAAAGGACATCAAACAGGCAGAGGTGTCTTTGAATTTATCGTTTTCAATGTCTTTTATGAGCTCCAGCCTTAGCTTTTCAGATCTTCTGCCTGCTGATCATTTATTCAGCCTTCTATCTGGTCATCCTCTGCCACGGCTACTCTCTCTGGTGTGTCCACCCATGATGAAATGAGGATTGCCTTTCTGTGCTCCCCATCAGGACTCTGCTGTCTTGGCTACAGAGGTTGTGCTGCTGCAGAGCCTCAGAGGCTGTGCCTTCTTTCAGGAAACAGCTCCTAATGCTCTCCCATCACCCACTCACTTTACCTGTCTCCATCTTACTTCCCTATACTCCTATTGTCGCCTTGAGGCTTTTTTTTTTTTTTTTTCAATTCCAAGTGAAGAATATAACCTCAGAGTGAGTAAAGACTCAGTAAAGACTCACCTCTCCTTGTTTGGATTAGTAAATGTCTTCAGATTCCAGAGATGAGACAAGGTGGCCACTTCACAAAGAATCCAGAGCCATGCTCAGCAAAGCTCATTAAGAGCCCCTGCAGCTGAGAAGGTTCACCTGGTACACAGCCTTCTTCATAGCCACAGAGGCAGCACTCAGGGGAGGTGGGAAGCTACAGGGAAAGGAGAGAGAAGGAGGAAAATAAGGCTTTGAGGTGTTCTGCCCCAGTTTCAAGGAGCTTACTGGGCTTCATGTGCAAGTTGGGGAGGGGCTCATTTTGATGGTGGGTAAATGATGGTTCTACAAAGATTACCTGACTCCACTTACACAAGAATATGTATTCACAGCTGATATAACTGTGTGTTCACATCCAATCCACAGAACTCACTGAAGGAGATTTACCAAGTCAGCCTTTTGGACTGGGTTGGAGTTTGGGGAGTGGGTTTTGGGATACAGAGAAACGTACTTAGTACACATTTTCTAATGGGTGTTATGTGAACTGTTAGAACCTGCTGAGTGGCACTTTGCAGAGCTCCATGTTCATGGTCAGTGTCAACACCATTCAACAGCTTTGCACATCTTCATACAACATAATCTGGCTTTGGTGCCCCTCGAGCCACCCAAAGAATAATTTATCGCAGAGTCCCACAATCTGCTGCAGTGCTGTGAACAGTTACCAGTGGATATAGAGCTTCAAGAGCCAAATTGTATCAGTTAAGGGTTTTCTAACTTTTGCCATTCACCCCCTCCCCCCAAAGAATGGATTTATAATTTAATCAAAGGATAAAGGGGAGTGGGTTGGTAGTGGTGTCCTTAACCTTTAGGAATGACGTAGCTCTGGAGTCTACACACTGAGAAACCTTCATCTCAGCAGCCTTGGAACTCCAAAGTTAAAGAGGCTGTGGGTCTCTTGAAGGGGGTTAGAGGATTCAGACTTGGGATGATGCTCACTGATTCCTGACCGTAGCCGTGAGAGGCCATGCGTGCAGGAAATGTGCTTGGGACTCAGTTTTGTTTTCGAATACCCACCACAGAAACCCTGAGACACAGAGCCGCTTAGAACTGAAGGCGCTACCCATGCCTACATAGAGCTTCCTACTGCAGACCACCTGCCACCCACCTCCCGAGCTGAGAACACAAGCTCCAGCTGGGCTGGAGTGTCACCTTGGTGCAGGGTGACTTCGGCAAAGTTTGTCAGATCCATAAAGCAAACTGGAATTTGACCTTTCACTCGCCCTAGTATACTTTCTTTAAAAAAAAAAAAAAGTCTATGTGGTATAATCAAGATGGATACCTATGTCTTTAAATTGCGTAGGGAATTTTGTATGTTTAAATAATTGTATTGGGTTCCATAATGCTTATCTTAGAAACTTTAGTAAAAGAAAACATGAACCGTGCATTTGTGAATGCCCCCTTTAGAGCATTCATCCAAGTTCAGTGTGTAGTGATGGTTATTATAGATATTTAAAGTAGAGTAAGTGGCTGTGTAACAGGAGAGACTGCTGTTTACCTGCGTACTGA